CTGTAGAAGAGGCCAGAGCTGGCCTGTTCGTTAACTCCCTTGCTCCTCCATCCCTCTCATTTCCCAAGATCGGTGTAGTCACGCTGCGGCACCGATTTCCTTAGGTAGCAATGCAGCCGTTGTCCAAAAGTCAGGCTTGGCACATCAGCCCGAGTTGCTGTTGGTGCCAGAGTTGACTAGGTGGTGCCTTCCTATCAAAACTAGAAAAATGGTAGTGCATGTGGGTCCTCCCTGCCAGAGCTTATGCTTTTCTGCTTTCCTCTTGGCTGTTGGGTGCTGCCTGCCAAAGGAAGTTGTGGCAGTTTGATAATGTTTCTAGCTGGAAGCCATGTGTGCTGCTGTACAGAATTAAAGACACAGAAAAATATTTTCAAAACATCCTATATAAGCTCGTGTTTCTTTCTTTAATGTAGTGCTTATGACTGTGTAATACCACCCATGGAAAAGGCTGTAGTGAAAACAGACATTCAGATTGCACTTCCTTCTGGGTGCTATGGCCGAGTAGGTAAGTAAACAGGCTATAAATAGGCTGCAGAGCCATTGCAGAACGGGTTTGACACCATCTTCACATTTAAATTCTGCCTAAAGCTTTCAGAACTAGCCTACACAAAAAAGGTGTTAAATGGCTGTGCGATTTATTAAGCTTTGTTAACAGACGTTTCTTGTCAAATATATATGAGGTTTGGTGTATGTCAAATGACAAAAAGATGATTAGGAAAAATTTTCATAATCTACACACAACTTTATAGGCTATGCAATAGTTTGTTATTTCTCTGCAGTTTCAGAATTCGAATTGCAGAGACAAGTAGGTAATAGACATACAGAAAATACACCCCTGGATGTTTAAAAATTAACCCTGAAGTAAGAGTACTAGTGTAGTAGAATTTGACTACTTTTCGTGACAGAATACTTGAGAGAACCTCTACAAGATATTTTGTTATGTTTTGTGCATTCTTTTTCTAAATTACGTATGAATTCTCAAAGTGGAAAAAAGCAGTAGCCACTCCACTGGGGAAG